GAGGCGGCACCCCTGGCCCCGGAGTCTCCCGCCGCCCCGCGCGCAGCCCGCTTCCGGCCACCTTCCCAGCCCGCTTCCGCGGGCGCGAGCCGCGAACTACAACTCCCAGGGCTCCCCGCGCTCCGCGCCACTCGCGCAGCACTTCCCTCCCTTTCAGCTCTGCACTGGGCAGACGCCGCACACTGGATCGGAAGTCGACGCGGACGCTTCCGGGTCACGCGGTGCGACTCCGCAAGTCATGTGATGCCAAGATGGCGGCGCCGCGGTAGCTTACTCTTGGTTGTTGCGTCCGAGGAGCCTCGACGGTTTCTGTTCTCGGGCCGTCGGGGCCGCCACGCTTGGGTGGTCGTGCGGCGGCCCGTAGCCCCGCGTTGGGCACCCGCTCAGGCTGGGGCTGTTGCCGTCGCGGTGGGTTAGGGGGAGCGCCAGTGACCTCGCTGCAGGTGCTCTGCGCCGGCCGCGGTCGCCGGAGGAGGAGGAGAAGGGCAGCCGGCCTCCCTAGTCTTCCCGATCAGCGGAGTTCATGAGGCCTCCGAGGGCCCTGGAGGACTACAGTTCTGAGGGTCTTCGGGAATTTGAGTCCTCGGGTGTGTGACAGGCAGCTCGTACCCCCGAGGGCGCAAAGAAGACCGCAAGGAGTTTGCTTCCTCCTCCAGAGGCCTGGCTTCCCCGCGTTAGCTACATCCGCATTGTTTCCCACTTCCTCTCAATGCTCTCTCCGTATATCTGGAAATATGATCAGCGCCCCTGACGTGGTGGCCTTCACCAAAGAGGACGAGTACGAGGAGGAGCCTTACAATGAGCCGGCCCTGCCGGAGGAGTACTCCGTGCCACTCTTTCCCTTCGCCAGCCAAGGAGCCAATCCGTGGTCCAAACTGTCCGGGGCCAAGTTCTCTCGGGACTTTATCCTTATTTCCGAGTTCTCTGAGCAGGTGGGACCCCAGCCCTTGCTGACCATCCCCAATGACACCAAAGTTTTTGGTACTTTCGATCTCAATTACTTCTCTTTGCGGATCATGTCTGTGGATTACCAGGCATCCTTCGTGGGCCATCCCCCTGGTTCTGCCTACCCCAAGCTGAACTTCGTGGAGGACTCCAAGGTCGTGTTGGGAGACTCCAAAGAGGGAGCCTTTGCCTATGTGCACCACCTCACCCTGTACGACCTGGAGGCCCGTGGCTTTGTTAGGCCCTTTTGTATGGCTTATATCTCGGCCGACCAGCACAAAATCATGCAGCAGTTCCAGGAGCTTTCGGCTGAATTTTCCAAAGCTTCAGAGTGCTTAAAAACAGGCAACAGGAAGGCATTTGCTGGGGAACTCGAGAAGAAACTGAAAGACTTGGATTACACCAGGACAGTGCTGCACACGGAAACGGAGATCCAGAAGAAAGCCAATGACAAAGGCTTTTACTCCTCTCAGGCCATCGAGAAAGCCAACGAGCTGGCCAGCGTGGAGAAGTCCATCATTGAACACCAGGACTTGCTGAAGCAGATCCGCTCATACCCTCGTCGGAAGTCCAAGGGGTCCGATTTGTGTTCCCGGGAGACAGAGTACACCCAGGACCGTCCCAGCCAGGCAGCCACTACCTCTGACCCTGAAGAGTCCGCTGACACAGACCGATACACCTGCAGACCCGCCTACACCCCGAAACTCATCAAAGCGAAGTCCACCAAGTGTTTTGACAAAAAGTTGAAAACCCTGGAGGAGCTCTGTGACACCGACTATTTCACCCAGACGCTGGCTCAGCTCAGCCACATTGAGCGCATGTTCAGAGGAGACCTGTGCTACCTCCTGACCAGCCAGATCGACAGAGCCCTCCTGAAGCAGCAGCACGTGACCAACTTTCTCTTTGAAGACTTTGCAGAGGCCGACGACAGGGCGGTAGTGAGACAGGAGAGTGCACCCGCTGAGCCTAGCCAAGATAGGCCACCTTCCAGGTCTCTGGAGAAATGCCCAATTCCCCAGGTGTTAATTAGCGTGGGCTCCTACAGGTCCAGCGTGGAGTCTGTGCTGATCAAGATGGAGCAGGAGCTTGGTGATGAGGAGTACAAGGAAGTGGAGGGAACAGAATCGGGCAGTTTTGACCCCCAGGACAACTTGAAATGCCAGGACATGGACATGAAAGGGAGCATCAGCAGCGGTGAAAGCATTGAGGTTCTGGGCACCGAGAAGGACACCTCTGTGCTATTCAAGTCTGACAGCCAGGGCAGCCTGACGGTGTCCTTGAGCCCGCAGGTGGTCCGGAGCAAAGCAGTCAGCCACAGAACCATCAGCGAGGACAGTATTGAAGTCCTCAGCACCTGCCCTTCTGAGGCTCTCATCCCTGACGATTTTAAGGCCAGCTACCCAAGTGCCATTAACGAGGAAGAGTCATATGCGGACGACGGCGAGGGAGCCATCCACTTCCAGGTAGGCACCAGCCCGCCAGAGCCAGGGGAGGCCGAGGAGGGCAGCGTGGAAAACACACCGCTGCAGACAGATGCCTCCTGCTGCATCGGGAAGGAGACCAGGGGTTCGCAGGTGCCCCTCTCCCCTCCAGCCCTCACACTCTCTGACGAGGAGGGGGTCGTGAGCACCCCCCCACAGCGCTCCAGGCAGAAGGACCAGGGCTTCCATGTGGACTTCGCCATGGAAAACTCCAACCTTTCTTCCCGAGACCACAGTTCCGAAGGCTTCCCTGCCTATGAGCTAGACCCAAGCCACCTGCTGGCCAGCCGGGACAGCAGCAAGACCAGCCTGGACAACTACTCGGACAGCACCAGCTGTGTGAGCAGCGCCGCCTCCACCAGCTCGGACAGGACGCCCTCCTCCGCTCACCCCACCGGCCCCTCTTCCGAGAGGCATAAGAAGAGGGCCGGCCAGAACGCCTTAAAGTTCATCCGCCAGTACCCCTTTGCCCACCCGGCCATCTACTCCCTACTCAGCGGGAGGACACTTGTGGTGTTGGGGGAGGAAGAGGCCATGGTCAGGAAACTCGTGACAGCATTGTCCATCTTTGTCCCCAACTACGGCTGCTGTGCGAAACCTGTGAAGCACTGGGTCTCCTCTCCGCTGCATATTTCGGATTTTCAGAAGTGGAAGCTTATTGGCCTGCAGAGGTAATTGGTTCCGGGTGGTGGGGATGGGCCCTGGCCAGGTGGAGAGGAGGCTTCCGATGGACGTCCCTCTCAGGGAGGTTCACAGATCGGTGTGAGGGACCCGGAACCAGGAGGCCTGGCTTCCAGGCGGGCCCAGCACCTACCCACTGAGTCGCTTTTGGGAAATCATTCCCCGTCCCGGGCCCACGTCCCGCTCCGTCTCTCGAGGGCTGCAGTTCCTCAGTTAATGCCAGCCCTGGTCTGCGCCCTACTGTGTCAGAATGAATTGGAAGAATTTTTTTAAATCACGGCTGCCCGAGGTCTGCTGGCCTCCTGGTGGGTGAATCGCTGGTCAGCAGCCATTTGCCGAGCTCCTCAGGGTAATCCCTGATCCTCCAGGAGACCTGGTCTAGAGGGTGTTCTTGGGGGCGGCTTCCTGAGGCTGGACACTCCAGCCTCCTTGCCTCGCCGAATGAACTCTGCCTGCCTGCCTCCAACGTGCCGGGCGCAGCATGGGGTATGGTCCTGAGCCGCCCCACTGGTCAGTGGCAGGCTGAGGTGATTGTGCTGTCCTGAGCACAACTCCCTCTGCCTCCACAGTGACCCACGGGGTTGGGACCATTCTCTACCTCACAAATGAGGTTCAGAAGGTAAGGCGCTGGACCAAGGCCAGAGCAGGAAGGCAGAAGAGCAGGGACGGGTTTGGGGCTCAGGGAGGCTGGACGGGTCTGACATCGGCGTGAGCCAGTACAGGAGGGAGGGCGGGTGTTCCGGGCAGAGCAGACAGGCCCTCGATTTTGCGGCCCTGTGGAAAGCTTGGCGTGGCTGCAAGGGAGTCACCGGGAAGCCACAGATGGGGCCTCAGAGGCCAGCAGGAGGCGAGTCGTTGGGGCCTCGTGGGTCTTCCCGGGCTCTCCCCTTGGTCGTGGAGGGTGAGGAGCGTCCGAATGTGGTGATGGGCAGAGAGTGGCCACTGGGCTGGGCTCCCCTCCTGGGCTCCTGCCTCCTGACATGTGTGTGTGTTTCAGAGCCACGTCCCCCGCCGGCACCGGCGCCCTGCACGCCCTGAGCCGCTACAGCCGCTACACGAGCGTCCTGGACCTGGACAGGAAGACGCTGCGCTGCCCCCTGTACAGAGGCACCCTGGTGCCACGGCTGGCAGACCGCCGCACCCACATCCGGCGGGGCAGCACCTACTACATGCATGTGCAGAGCGTGCTCGCCCAGCTGTGCGCCAAGGCCTTCCTCTACACCTTCTGCCACCACCTGCATCTGCCCACCCGCGGCCAGGAGGTGGAGGCGGCAGCCGCCAGCCGCCAGGCCAGCTTCCTGCAGCTGAGCCTGGGCCTGGTGAACGAAGACGTCAAGGTGGTCCAGTACCTGGCCGAGCTGCTGAGGCTGCACTACACACAGGAGCACCCCGGGGCCATTCAGCCCACGCTCAGGTTTGACTACGTCCCCAGCTTTCTGTACAAAATCTGAGGTTGTTCCCGGCCACTATGACCAAGACCTGTGATTCAGTCTGGGGAGGAGTGGCATGACCAGTGGGGTCCTCTCAGCCGTGTGGACTTCAGGCAGCAGCAGGGAGGAAACCAAGAGGGCAGCCCTGGGTCCCAGGTGGCTCCGGGGGTCGTGGGGGCTGGCCCCCTGGAGGTGCCTGGAAAGATGGTGACAGTCTCCGCCCCCCGGAGAGGAGCAGCCTGGGGTAGGCGGGGGCTCCCGGCTGCCCAGGGACCGGGAGCCAGGGCAGGATGCCTCGATGGTGCACTGTGGTGCAAGAAGGCGGGGCCGCCTGGGAGGACTGCGTGGGCCGCCGGCCACTCCTCTGAGCACTCGGGACACAGCTATTCACTGAAGGATTTTGTGGAACAGCCATCGCCTTGTTCAGACCCCAGTGGCGCCCTCTGTTCAGCATCACAGAGCAACCATCCCTGGGGGCCCTGAGCAAGTGAGGTGCAGGGAGAAAGTGCAGCCAGGCCCCACGGCCACAGGGAGAGCACAGAGCCCTGTCCCATCCTCGCTTTCTTACCAAGCGCCCTTGGAAGTCGCTCCTGGGGTCAGCAGGAGTGACCAGAGTCCCCATTTGTCAGAACTGCTCTCGGTGGTGGGGAGCCAGGGCCATGAGATGTCCCCCCATGAGAGCTAGGAGGAGCTGGCAGGCTCCCAGCCCTTCCCCCAGCTTTTGTGGCCAGAGTATTTACACCGTACTCTCGGGGAGGGTCTGTAGACGTGCTGGAGCCCAGCAGGGGTCACCCAAGTCCTCACCCACAGCAAACCTTTGCAACCACTTCACTACCTCGAGGGCTCTCATGGATACGGTGGCAGCTGGATTCTGGTCGGCCTGCTGGGCTGCGATTTCCTCCGGGAAGGCTGCATGTGGCCAATTTCGTGATCTGCCTTGGGGAGGCCATGCCGGCCTGGGGTGCACGCAGCTCACAGGAGCTCCCTTGGCCCCCGCTGAGTCCACCTCCCCCTGTGAAGGAGCTGCTCCCCAGTTCACCCACCAGGACCCCCCCACGTCCCCTTCACAGTGACGCTGGTGTGCTGATGGACGGTTTCTTGCAACCTGGGAAACTCCGTACCTTTTTTTCTTAAGCTGTTTTTCTCTAGGGAGAATGCTTAGTACTCCTGCTTTTTAATTTGTTCCCCCAAATTGTGATAAAACAGACCTGAACCAGCCACAGTGGTTGCTCCCAAGCACGTGTGCACCTCTGCGGGGCCTGGGTCCACGTCGGTGGGGTCCTGCCGTCTGCTCCGTGACACAGCACAGTGTCCGGAGGGCGCAGAGAGCCCTGGCGCACTGGGAGGCTTTGCGTTGCGCCACCCGTGCAGCCCTTCCCTGCCTGGGCTTCTGGTCAGGGTCCCCATTCCCGTCGGAGGGTGTGACCGAGCCTGGTCTGTGGCAGCGCTGCTGCTTCCGTCTCCTTGGCGTCACATGTTTGTCCGCAGAGGCATCTCCAGGGACGTGCCGGCAGCTTCTGAATGGGCAGCGTGCACCAGCGTGAAGGCTGCCCTCCTGTCACCCACCGTCCAGCTCAGATGCTGCTCTGCTTTCTAAGTAGGGGGCTGGTGGCCGCCTGCTTGGGCTCCAGGGGCACGAGCTTGTGACATCTTGTCTCAGAGGGAAGAGCGGCCCTTGGGGCCAAAAGCCCAGATGGAAGCAATGACTGGGCTGCCAGCCCAGACTCCGCAGGTGGCACTGCTCCCCTGGGAAGCTGGAAAAGGCTGAGTCAGGCACACGTCCACTCTGAGGACTTTGTGCGGAAGCTTCGCCTCAGATGGTCAGGAGGCCCCGAGGACGCTGGGGTGAGAGCAGAACAGACTGCCACGGGGTGGCCACAGAGGGCACTCAGGAGCCTCTCTCAGAGCCGTTCCTTCACTGAGTCGAGTCGGCCTCACTGACTAGTGGTTGAATTCCTGCACGGAAATTTTGGTCGAAACCTTAACTTTGCAGTGTGGCAGTTTTGAAGGACTGCTTGATACCCCATGTGCGTCTCCTCAAAGGGGTCCTGCAGGAGGACCAGCCCTGGGCCCACTGGGCAGACAGCCGCCTGGCCCCGCCGCTTTGAGGGCGGGGCCCACCGGAAGCCCCCAGCGCATCTGCAGCCCAGGTGCTGGGCCGGCAGCGGGCCACTGTCCCCGGGAGTCTTCACTGCAGGTTTTCCTCACGTCACAGGCCAGCAAGCGTCTGAACACTTCAAACCCTCGCAGACAGCAGAGGACCTGTGCCCCTTGTTACTTCCTTCCATCCTGAGGGTTGCGCTGAAGGCGTAGGCACCCAAGTTTTGAGGTTTGTTCCACTTCCTGCCCTCCCCCCTCTGAAAGCAGGTCCAGGTAAGGCCAGGTCAAGAAGAGCCCGCTCGGACGAGCGATTCTGCAGCGGTGACCTCCAGCTTAGAGATCAGCCAAACCCTTCACAGCACCCGGGTCCTAGGGCCTTGCTCCTTGAGTGGAACCCGGGTTTTAGAAGCAGACTTTCCCCGATGCACTGCACCGGCTGAAGTTACACACGGTGCACCAGGGACCGGAAATAAGCCGTGAATGGCTCTCCTGTCTTCCCCACCTAGTTTTAATTGTTTCGGACCAGTTGCTATGTTCACAGTGTCATAGGCTTCACACCTAAACAAGCAACAGTCCCACTTCAGGTCCTCCGAGGGCCGGTGGCTCCTGCCCAGGCCAGGGCCCCGCAGCTCGCACCCCTGGAGACCACTCAGCCTGGAGGCCGGCGCCTGCACGCGTGCTGCCCACTCCTGCCAGCGCCAGGCGCGTGCCCCTATCTCCCGGCCTCCTGTTGCCCGCTGGCCAGCTTCGCACACTGCTGCCGTGCTGTCTGCACAGGTGGCGGCCCTCCTCGGCCCTCGGGGGTGCCAGTCCCCCAAGCCAGCGATCACATTTTACCTGCTGTCTTCCTAGAGGCTCAAGAAAGTGCCTTGGTTCGTGCTTTGAGGCAAACCAGTGAGCGTTCTGGCTTTTCCCCAGCACTCATAGACACTGGCCACACTGGACTCTTCAAGGGAGAGATGGCACCAACAGACTGAGAAAGGAGCGGCTGATGGGGCCTCAGCACACCCAGCTTTCCTGAGCCCGTCCCCCTGCGTGCCAGCCGCCTCTGGCCCTGCGGTTATGGTTGGGGTGTGGCCGTGGCGGGCGGGGGGCTGGGAGCGCTTTGTAGTGAATTAAGCTGCTGGTTTGTGCCCGGCCTCCTGGGAGTGACTGTTTGGCTCCGGGGCTCCCACCCGGCAAGGCTCCAGCGAGGAGCAAGGCCCACAGCGCCAGGCACAGCTACGCCGGACTTTGACCAGAGGAATGCCAGAAAGGTGGTGTGAGGAGAGTACTTTTAAAGAAATTAATTTATTTGAGTTAAGCTATTTTTGAAACACAAAAGTCAGTTGTATTTTTTAAAGCTATCATTCTTGTAGATGTTCCGTGGTTAAAATTTGTGCATATTACAAATGGTCGTCTGTTTTGCACTTCAGCTTTGTGAAAAATAAATTTCTGTGGGAAGGTGACGTCTGGCTTCCCAACTACAGAGGAGGTAGGGGTGGGCACCTCACACTGGGCAGGAAGGCCCCAGCTGACGTGCACAGAGGATGGGAACTAGGTTCCCCCGGCTCGCCCACCTGTCTTGGGGTCTGGGGCAGGGGACTACATGTGTCCCCAGGTGCGGAGAGAGGGACTCCCAGCGAGCTGGGTGGCACCTGGAATAGACTTTGTAACTTAGGATTCAGATCAAAGGCACATGGCAGAAGGGTCAGGACTTTCCTGCCTCGACTGCAACGGTTGTTAATTCAGCCCCCCTTTGGGGAACAGCTGTCAACGGGCAGCTTTTACAAGCTCGACTTTGTTCCTTATCTGCCGTGGCGAGTCTGGAGGAAGCCCAGGGACTCTTAAGAGCAGAGTGAGTAAAATTACTGGAACCTTCCCAGTAGCTCTGCTCTGCTCTACGGTCTAGATAATTAAGATTGAATGGCTAAATTGTATTTCATTTTTCCAGAGTAACCATATATATGTAGCAGTGAGAAAGTGAGGTTCAAATTTAAACTCCCTAATAACTTGTCCCAGAATTACTAACAATGAGCCTTAAATTTTGACTTGTGAAGACGGTAACGTAGCAAAGTCCAAAAAAAGCCTCTCGGAGGACTGGAGGGAGCCGACCATCCGTGTGGGGCCCCAGAACGGCACTGGGCCCTCAGACGTCAGCTCTAGAAGTCAGGCAGGCCGGGCAGAGGAAAGAGGGAGGCAAAGCTCTCCACCTCTGCCCGGAGAGCCCCCAGGGCCCGCCGGTGCGCCTCTTCCCCCGCCAGCTTCTCCGTGAACTCCTTCAGGGTGGCCCTGCCTCCCACGGCATCCTGGATTTGCAGGGTCAGTTGTATCCCTGTGTAGGCAGGAGACAAGCCAGTCCCCGGACCCTCCTGCCTGCGTGCCCTCGGCACTCCCCCAGACCTGCTTCCTAGATGCCCCTCACATGGGCAGGATGAGCCGCCACCCCAGACCCCACGGTTTGCAGTGACGGTTCTGGCCTGGCCCAGCGCTCGGCCTGGAGCAGGGCCGTCCTCCAGTCCAGCCGCTCGGTCCTGAGTGGGGCCCTGCATACACGACCCGGCATAGCCAGCATCCACACCCCTCCCCTTACCTTTGTGAATAAACTGGGCGACTTTTCGGAAATCTTCTTCTAAAAGTCCCCGGGACGTCAGCGCAGGAGTCCCCAGCCGCAGCCCGCTGGGCCGCAGTGCACTTTTGTCACCTACAAGAGTAACAGGCCATCTGGGCCTCAGCCATCTCACCACTGCCCACCATGCGCCAGGAAGGGGCACTTGGGCCAAAGGTACAGCCGGTCCCGCTGCGGGCAGGAGCAGGCCTGCGTGGGCTGCTCTACTTCAGACAGTAAGGAAGTCACCCTCTGCCATGCAGATCCTGTTCTGTCGATGAGGCCAGCGTCTATCCAGGTTCGAGGTGCGTTGCCCGCATCTTACTTGCAACCCACTGAGAAATCTAGCCAGTTTTCCAGAGGCAGCCGCCTCACCTTCAGGTGCCCTCTCACCTCTGAGCACTTGACCTCAGCCTCCTCTCTCCACCACTGAGGGTCAGAGCCGCATGGGAGGGGGCAGCTGGGAGAGCCACGGCCCAGCTGCCGTCCACTGTGAGGTCTGCCCCAGATCATCTGATGCCTGTCCCCAGAGCCATGTCACCATCGGCCAAGAGGAGCGCTGACGGAAAGGCATGGAAGAGAGGACCAAGGAGGCCCACCTGGGCAGGTGTTCTTGTTGCAAGCGATGGAACAGGCTTCCAGCACCTTCTCGGCCCTGCCGCCATCCGTGCCTTTGGATCGGAGGTCCACGAGGATCAGATGGTTGTCAGAACCACCTGGAAACCGGGTTGGACATGTGGGAAAACAGAATCTCCTCCAAAGAAACTGGGGTGGGGTGCAGGGGGCTACACCAGATGAGGTGAGGAAGGTGACCCCCAGCACGCGTCCTGGAAGGCTTCCATCACCTGCTAATGACCAGGTGCCCCAGGGCCTGAGAGTCAGAGAGGAAGGAGTAGTTCAAAAAGGGTACCTGGGGAAGTGGATGGGCCGTGAGGCTGAGGGAAAGCGGCCAGCCCAGGCCGCCCACCGCCACCTGCCCACACACCAGGAGCCAGGCAGTGCCTGGGAGCCTGTCGGGGTAACAGCACCACTTGAGAATGTCCCCCACTGCCTCTAAACTGATCCTCAAGGCTCCCTCCAAGGCGGCCTCAGAGCGGCAGGCACTGGGCGTTCCAGGGGGTAACCACCGCGGACGTAGGGGGGCACTGCCAGCCCGCGGCGTGTTTTATCCCTCATCCCGCGAGGGTGATGGTATCTTCATAGTGGTGCAGATGAGGGTGCAGAAGGTACAGGAACTTTCTAGAATGGCCAGAGGCCATCCAGGAATCTTCCGAGCACCTGACCTTCACTTTGAACTCCCGCTATCCCAGGCGTTGCCTCGGGTGACAGCTGCAACTTGAGAGGTGCACGTGGGCTGAGCCGACCTGGCTCTGGACCCACCGTACACCCTCAGCCACGAGGCTTTGGTCAGGCAGCTCAGCGCTTGGGGACCTCAGGCGGCCATTTGCAAAATAAGACCAATAACTTGCAAGGCTGTCGTGAGGTGAGTGAGGTTGTGCAGACAGCGCTTGGCCAGAGCCGGGCACGACGCGGGGTCCACCACCTCTGCTTCCGCCGCCCATGGCGTGGGCCCCAGGGAGCAGCGCCGGCTGCCAGGGCTGCTGCGTGGCGCCCGCAGCGAGACAGAGCTTGGCCTGCGTCCCTGGGACACTAAGCCTGCTTCCCAAACCAGCATTCCCTGGGTGCTGGTTAGAGACACGCACCCTCCCCCGCACACGGGGCCACCCAGGGCCAGTGGACTGAGACGGCACTGCTGCCAGGGAAACGCTGCCCTAACTGTGACCTGTGGGGACCCCCAGGTCGGGCCTCACCTGAGAAGCCCACCTCACTCGGGGTCACTCAGGTCCCCGTCCAGTGTTGCACCTGACCCGAGGTGGCTGCGGACACTCCGAGGGACAGAGTTCTCCTGCCCCTGCCCCCCACCGCTGCGCTGTGACTGCTGGTGCCTGACTCGCCCTCCTCGGGGGGCCCTTTCAGAAAGCTGGCCGATGACGGTGGTCCCACAGGTGGGGACAGAGGGCAGCCACCATCACCCTTGTCTGTGGTCCAGCCACGGAGGTATTGTGCACGGAAGGGGGCCGAGGGCCTCGCTGACGCCTCTGAGGTGGTCCCGACTCCCCCGTGGCTGCAGCCACACCCCGACAGAATGGGTGAGGCTCACGCAGCCCCAGGGAGTAGGGCTGCCTCCCGGGCTGGGTCCCTGTCGTACCTGTGACCACCTTGTAGCCCAGTCCCATCAAAGCCTCGGCCAGCGCCCTGCAGTTGGCCACCAACTGGCGCTGGTAGACTCTGAATTCCGGAGTCATGGCCTGCTTCAGAGCCACGGCGACCCCTGGGAGGGAGGGATAAGACGTCAGGACAGGGTCCAAAGGCAGAAACACTCAGTTTCATCCAGCCTCCTTGCTTCCCAAGGTCACCGAGGGGGTGGGTGACACTCCCTCCCAGGTGACGTATTTTAGCCCTGCAGTCACCCGGCTCCACCTCCAGCGCGAAGTCTATGCTGGTGCAGTTACCACAGGGGAGCTGTCCCCAGCATGGACCTCACATCCTTGTTAAGCCCAGTGGGTGTGAGGGACACAGCCACCCCCTGCTGCTGCTCAGATGCCCAGTCACGCAGCGTGCGCTCCACTCATCTGCTGCCTTGTTCTGTCCCCAGGGCAGCTTGAAGGGGCACAGACGATGGAGGAGGAGGCAGAGCGCATGCCGAGTCCCAGCACAGGAGCCCGGTCTGTGTGGAAGGGCTGGAAGGGGGCCCACCCACTGCCCAGAGTTCCCTGCTCTGTTGTCAGGCCCTTCCTCGTGGCTTCCCAGGGGCGCTGCACAGGAGGCCTGGCCCCACCCAGTGCAAGAGCTGCCCCTCTCTGTTCCTTCTCTCCCTGGTAGCGTCTCCAACACGGGAAGCGGGCCACGGGGCAAGCCACACGGGAGGCCCACTGGAGTGCGCGGGCCGGGGCTCCAGCTGGGCGGGCAACACGTTACCAGCGATGGCGTGGTTGTGGGGGCCACCCTGCAGGCCTGGGAACACAGCGGAGTTGATGAGCAGCTCCAGGTTGTACTGAGTCTCTCTGCCTGTCTTGGGATCCACGCTGCGCACTCCTGGGTGAAGGGAGACGTCAGACGGCCGCCCCCGCTGTCCCCCGCCTGGGTTTCCTCCTCCCTGGACTTAGACCCAGCCGGGCCCCCCCCTCCTAGAGGCGAGGCCGGTCAGAAACTCTGCAGAGCAGACGGGGCACCGGCTTCTGGAGGGTGGACCACCGTCCACGGACGAAAGGACAAACTTCTCCCTCCTCTGAGGCTGGAACAGACTACACCAGGGCATGCTTCCTCAGAGGAGCGCCCAAGAGGGTAGCCTTCCCCGGGGACGCCCTCCAAGGAGGCGGGGAAGGAGCTTCCTTTCCGAGAAGAAGATAATGCACCAGCCTCTCTGCCGTGAGCCAGGGCTTCCCCTAGGGCATCACTTAATCCTCACTTCGGCCAGCGGCCAGCCGGAGGGGCGGGTACTGTTACAAGGCCCTTGCTCAGCAGGTGAGGAGACGGCACAGAGAGGCTGTGTGGCTGGCCCAGGGTCACACAGAGCATCTGGGGCGAGGCTGCCTGCCTCAGAAGCCGTAACCCAGCTAAGGAAGGGCCCCGAGAAGCCAAGCGGGCAACAGGGCCTGGGTGAGGAGACCCCGCGGGGGATGAAGAGAAATCGGTCACCAGGGGCTACTCCCTCCCTGACGCTAGGCTGCTGGGCCCCGGGGCCCTCAGCTCTGGAGTGGGACTCCCAGGGAAGGGGAGCACCACACGCGAGCTGAGCTGTTGCTGGAAGGAGAAATTCCTCACTAAGTGACACCGTGGTAGAGATCTGCACCTCAGCATCTCACAGTCTGACTACTGTGGATCCTTCTCTGGGAGAAACATGCTGTAGTAAGTTCCCCGGAACAACGCCGCGCCGCGGGGCCGCCCAGAGCCCCCGGCCACCTGCGCACACCTTCCTGTCACCCTGCGGGGTCCTCTCGTGGGGAGGAAAGGTGGCACAGGACGCCGGCACCAGCACGATGTCCCTCCTCCTCCTCCCTACCCAGGGCCCAGGGGGCTGCGCTCAGGGCTTCCTTCCAGATCCCTTCCCTGAGGCCTGTTGCTGCCCCTGCCAAGGAGCTCTTGAAGGGACCCCAACACCCCCGGGGTCCCTGGTCAGTCTCCCTGGCTCCCTCGATGGAGTGTGAGCCCCGCGGAGGAGGGCCCCGCCCACACCCAGCAGCCCACCTTTCCTGTAGAAGATCATGCCGGCGCGGCAGCCCCTCAGGGTCTTGTGTGTGGTGGTGGACACCACGTGGCAGTGCTCAAAGGGGGAGGGCACCACGCCGGCCGCCACCAGCCCGCTGATGTGCGCCATGTCGGCCATGAGATACGCCCCATTGTCGTCTGCGATCTTCCGCAGCCGGGCGTAGTCCAGGTTCCGGGAATAGCAGCTGGTTCCTGAGGCGGCAGAGGTGACACGGGTGAGAGCCACTCACGGCCAGCGGCTGGCTCAAGCACAGGGCTGCCTTGGGTGGGCGCATTTGCAAGCTGGTCTGTCCCCCTGAGACCTCCGAGAACAGAAAGGAGGGACCCCTGCAAAACGTCTCTGTGCAAAGGCGACTCTGCTCTGCCCCAGGTCACGTAGTTGGGGGGTCCCCAGCCGTTACACCCTAACTAGTCGGTTAACACGTCCAGATGCTTCTCAAGAGCAGCCTAGACCCACTGTGGCAAACGGGACACTTGTCCTGAGACGAAAGGATGCACTTAGACCCCAGCAGCTCAGCGCCCACAGCAGAGACCAGCAGGGAGCGAGGGTGGTGTGGGGGCAGGGCCAGGTCCTCGATCTGTACGAGGCACGGGGTCTGCTGAGTGCTGCGCGCTTCTCACCTGCGATGATCAGCTTCGGGTGGAAGAGGCGGGCGTTCTCCTCCAGCTGGTCATAGTTGATGTAGCCGGTGTCCGGGTTCACCTGCAGGATGTCATGGAGACTGCGGCCCTGGCTGCTTCCCCGAGCTGCACCAGCCGTCCTCCCGCCCGGACCCCAAGCCACCAAGGACAGGGGGCCTCCCTCCACCTGCCCAAAGCTGCTGGCTCCCCTCGGCACGAAACCAGAGGAGACAAGCCCGATGGGGACCAGAGGGCGAGGCGGTGCACACGTGGTAAGACAACTGGCCCAGGTGCCGGGTCCCGGGGAAGGGGCCCTGCTCCCGCCCCACTGCTGAGTAAGCCAGGGCAGATAGCACACGACACACATGTGGTGCCAGGGTGCCGCCACCCCACACCACTTCTGGTCCAGGCTTGACGAGGCAAGAAGAAGCAGAATCACAGGGACCTGAAGGCACACCAACACCGAATGTGCACCTGTGTGGGCCAGATGCCGGCGTGAGCCCTGAGACCCCGTGAGTGGACACAGGGCCCCGGATACGGGCTCAAAAAACAGAAGTCAGCTATGTTTGTGCACGTAAGCAGCAAAAGGGGAAAATGAAATTCCAACAATGTATTGCACTAGTCTCAAAACCTGCAAACTGCTGAACAAAAGACGTGCAAGACCTCTGCACAGAGCACCACTGAGAGCAATTTAAACACACCTAGAAAGTGACGTAATGAAGGCACATGTGTGTGCACGGGACAGACAAGCTGGTGGACAGAACAGCCCAGACGCAGAGGCCCCTGTGCTACAGACCACCCGCTGGGGGCATGGGGCCACTGCAGGGAGGGAGGTTTTTGGGAAACGGCACTTGGCCAGGTGGCCGCCCACCTGGAAGCAAACATCACCTGGACACCAACCCCACCCAACACTCAGAAGCCCATCCCCAGTGGACCACAGATCCACCTGCAGCGTGTGGAACACAAAACCTCTCCTCCTCTCTTTTCTGGAAACACGTTTCTTAGTAAGTTCAGTTAATTGAAGTTGTGTTACAGCACATGTGCCGGTGATGTAAACAACCTAGGGGTCATCGTGGGGAAACGTTAGGGGCATGGGGCCCCCGGGGAGGAGGTGTGAGAAGCCCCATGTGCTGAAGCCCCTGCCCAGGGAGGGGGGGAGGGTCCAGGTTTGGGGGGCACCCTTTCCACATGGGAAAGTGCTCACAACTCAGCACAGTTAACCCAGGCTTGTGTGCAAGGCTGCAGGGGCTGGGACACCGTCTGGACAGGCTGCAGGGCTGTCTGGCATCTGGTTTGGGGCTCTGTTTGCAGGCCGTGAACTGGTCTGAACTTGGCAAAGAAACTGGTGACTTTATGACAAATCAGCAGCTGGGGGCGTGCACGGGGCTGAGCACGCACAGGTCCTGGGTTCAATCCCAGCCTCCCTCCTAATCAAGCAAGAAAGTAAACCTGGTTACCACTCCCTAAAAACCGGGGTAAGTTAAAATTTAAAAAAGAGATTAAAAAAAGAAAATCAACAGCTGACCCACTGTAAAAAAAAATGGATGTAGTTCTAAAACTTTTTAAAAAGACATAATCACCCCCCAAACCTGCTACTCCCTCCCTCCACATTTTGCTTTGTAAACTTGCAGGATTTTTTTTTAAAGGTTTTAGTTTTTGATCTTGAAAACTCAGCAATAAGAGGGGAGGGTACAGCTCAGGGGTAGAGCATGTAGTCAGCGTGCGCGAGGTCCTGGGCGCCATCCCCAGTCCCTCCATTAAGTAAATAAATAAACCTAATTACCTCCCCCCTCAAAAATAAAGTAAAACTTTTTTTAAAAAAGGAAAAGAAAAATTCAGCAATGAAACAGCTCCTGGAAGGATTCCCAGGCATCTGTAACAAACTGTGGAGGGCCTGGGGTGGGGGCCAGGGGAGGGCACAGAAGGTTCGAGGTGCTGTTTCTCCCCAGACAGAGGAAATGCCTGGCCCTGGTGGGCCAGCTGCCAGAGGGTGAGGGTCCCTCGGGCAGCACAGGGGCCAGGCGGGGACACAGCCAGGTGGGCAGAGGAAGGGCCGCGGCGGCTGCGGCTGGAGGCCAGTCAGGTCTGTGTCCTCCCCCCGACCACCAAGGCTGGTGCCCACTGTGCCCCCTGTGCGCCTCCCCATGCCTCAGCTCGGCCCCTGGCACTCCGTCCCCGGCGTGCCCCAAATGCCTGAGGAGACCCCAGGGCAGGGAACTGACCAGCAGTGAAGGGGCCCCTGAGGGGCCCCGGGAGCCACACTGCTTATCCCCAGGGCCCAGCCAGCCCTGCAGGCCCCTGAGGAAGGGGCCCCTGAGCCACGGAGAGACGCTCTCACCTTGTAGGGCATAGACTCGAAAAAGATGGACGTGGCGGAGATCTTCTTCTTGTCCGTCATGAACCCATGGGTCAGGTGGCCCCCGTCAGGCAGGTCCAGGCCCATGATGCGGCCGTGGGGCTCTACCAGCGCGGTGTACACGGCGAAGTTCGCGGGGGAGCCTGGAGCGGGCGGAGCGGAGGCAGCGCCGTCACTCCCGCCCACGGGGCAGCAGCAGGACCGGGGCGGCCAGGGCAGGCCCGGCCGCCTCGCCCCACGCCCCACGCCCCGGGCCCCCAGGCGCCCCGGCTCCACACCCTTGAGGGAGCGGAGGGGACATTCAGAGATGGGGGCTGCCGGGGGGTGCGCACGTGCAGCTGGGGCAACGGGGCAAGACCCCAGGCCCCCGGGGCTGAGCTCACATCATTTATGGGGCATCCCCCTTCAGGACTCAGCGCGGTGTCCGCCGGCCGCGGAGGTGGCGGAAGGCGCTGCCGGGCCCGCCTTACCTGAGTAGGGCTGGACCGTTGACGCCCCAGCACCGGGGGTCCAGCCCATAGAGCTGCAGCGCTCGCTTCTGACAGAGGACCTCCAGCCTCGTCGATGAACTCAG